CCACCTGCCTCTGCCTCCACAGTGCTGGGTTAAAGGTGTGCGCCACCACTGCCTGGCCTGCAAGTGTTTATTGCTGTAACAGGCCCTGTGTGAGAGCATGCTGTAGCTCCACTCCTAACACTGCGAAAGCTGCTGAGACTCTGCCATTAGGTAGGGGAGCAAGGCTCAGAGCGGTAGCTAGCTGGAATCCTTCCTGTGCTCCACTGTGTGCCTGCTGCTCAGGGAACAGCATGGGGCTGTCCACCCCCGGCAAGCCTGGAGAGGCATCAGGCCACTTGTGCTTGTCAGCAGGTGAAAAAAGAAAAGTCTGAGATGTCTTAAATGTACTTACAAGGGGTAGAGGAGAGGGGAGGTAACAAGTAAACAGCCAGCAGCTCCTAAACTGTTGAAAGGTTGGTTCACACTCCAGGAGTTGAACCATGATGGTGTCATTATTTTTACAATCCAGCCAGTCAAGAATCAATATTGCAACCCAGAAATGGTGGTGCCCACCTTTAATCCCAGCACTCAGAAGGCAGAGACATGTGGATCTCTGTGAGCTCAAGGCCTGCCTGGTCTACAAAACAAAGAACGAGTTTCAGGACAGCCAGTGCTACATAGAGAAACCCTATCTGGAAAACAAACAAACAAACAAACAAAAAGCAATATTGCTGTAAATCTCAGCACTAGTCAGGAAGGAAAATTGCCTCAAATTCCAGGCTAACCTTGGCTACTTAGTTGGCTTACTAAGCTTACTATCTCAAAAAAATTAAAGTAATACTAAGTTGGGCCTGCTGTCACAGGCCTTCGTTCCGGATATTGGAAAGTTTGAAGCAGTAGAGTGACAAATTCATACCTGGCTGGGCTACAGAGCAAGCCCAAGGCCAGCATGGGTCACTTTATAAGACCTTATCTCAACATGAAAAATCACAGGGAAGACTCGGGGTGTGACTCAGACTTGCTTGGCACAAATGAGGATCTGGGCTCAACTCTATTACCTCAAACAAAACAAGACAACTAGGTGGTAGTGGCTCACACCTTTAATTCCAGCATTTGGGAAGCAGAGACAGGTGGATCTCTGAGTTTGAGGCTAACCTGGTCTATATAGTGAGTTCCAGGACAGCCAGGGCTACACAGAAAAACTGACTTGAAAACACAACCAAACAACAACAAAACCCCAACAAGACAAAGACACTATAGCTGGGTGTGGCAATCCCAGCAATCAGGAGGCTGAGGAAATATGGTGGGTTGAAGGCTAGCCTGGACTACATAGAAAGACCCTGACTTGAGGGAGGCATGGTAACCCACACCTGTAATCCAAGCATTCCAGAAGCGGAGGTAGGAGGATTAGGAGGAGTTCAAAATCATTTTAGGTAACATATGGAGTTTGAGACCAGTCTGGGCAACATGAGATTTTGTTTTGAAACACAAGCAAATAAGGCCCTGTCTCAATAAGGGAGAACCAGCCAGGCATGGTGGCGTTTACCTGTAATCCTAGAGTAGGATGACCATGTTTTTTTTTTTGTTTTGTTTTGCTTTGGTTTTGGTTTTTTTTTTAATATTTATTTATTTATTATGTATACAATATTCTTTCTGTCTGTGTATATGCCTGCAGGCCAGAAGAGGGCACCAGACCTCATTACAGATGGTTGTGAGCCACCATGTGGTTGCTGGGAATTGAACTCAGGACCTTTGGAAGAGCAGGCAATGCTCTTAACCTCTGAGCTATCTCTCCAGCCCTTGTTTTGTTTTTTTGAGACAGGGTTTCTCTGTAGTTTGGGGGCTTGTCCTGGAACTCACTCTGTAGACCAGGCTGGCCTCGAACTCACAGAGATCCCCCTGCCTCTGCCTCCTGAGTGCTGGGATTAAAGGTGTGTGCCACTACTGCCCAGCGTATCACCATGTTTTTATAGTCAACTTTGTCTGCAGCAAGTTTCAGCCCAATTTGGGCTACCTATCAATAGTCTGTCTAAAAGAGAGAGAGAGAGAGAGAGAGAGAGAGAGAGAAAATAGCCAAGTATAGTGTACACATACACACCTGTAATCTCAGTACTTGAAAGATGGAGGCAGGAACAGGAGTTAAAACTTCAAGGCCAGGGGCTGGAGAGATGGCTCAGCAGTTAAGAGCACTGCCTGCTCTTCCAAAGGTCCTGAGTTCAATTCCCAGCAACCACATGGTGGCTCACAACCATCTGAAATAAGATCTGATGCCCTCTTCTGGCCTGCAGGCAGACACGCAGACAGAATATTGTATACATGATAAATAAATAAATAAATAAATTAAAAAAAAAAAAACTTCAAGGCCAGCCTTGGCTGCATTAGCAAGTTAAAGGTTAGATGTTGAAGAGATGGCTCAGTGTATGGCTTAGTTGTTAAGAGCACCCACTTTTCTTCCTGAGGGCCCAGGTTCAAATCTCAGCACCTACATAGTAGCTCATAACTGTCTGAAATCCCAGTTCCAGGGAATTCAACATCCTCTTCTGACCTCCTTGGACATCAGTCAAGCAATGTTACACACACACACACACACACACACACACACACACACACACACACATACAGGTAAAGCATTCATATACATAAACAAACAAAAATGTCTGATAAGATGATTCAGTGGACAAACACACTTGCTGCCAAGCCTGATAACCTGACTGTAATTCCTGGGAGCCATAGACCCAACCCCTGCAGGTTGTCCTCTGACTTACACATATGCTATGGTGCAAGTGTGTGCACTTTACTCCAGTCTTTGGGCCAGCATCATTGTGGTGGTTCAATAAGCCGTATTATTTCAGGGACATCTCTGTTTCAATGGTTATGAAAAGGATCCAAGTTGGGCAACTTCAGTCTGAGCTTAGGGCACTGAGATGTGGGCCAGGCATATGGGAAGAGCTGTGTCAATGTCTTTGCCTGGCAGGGTTAGGATAGACTGCCTGGAGTCAGTATGAGAGAAAAATGGGCAGGGAACCAAGAGGGAAGCTGGAATAGGACTGGTAATCTGCCCATTATCTGTAGGGGAAAACTGAGCCTCAGAAAGATCCTGAAAGCCTTTCTTATTCAAGAACTTGGCAGAAAGTCCAAATCTGGGCTCTGAAGCTGGGAGGGTGCGGGATCGGAGACATTTGTAGTGGGTGAAAGCACACGATGGCGATCAGGATCAGAAGTCCCCTTCCCGCCCACCCTAGGGCGAGGATTCACTTGGCCTTCCACTCATCGCTGAGCCCTGCTCCTGCCCCAGTTGATATCTTTTATAACGTTACAGGTTGACAGACACCTCTGGCCGTCATCCCAGCTTGTCTCACAGGGTGACACCTTAGGTATACTTTCTGACTCAGCCACTTTCCAGATCATTTTTGTTTTGTTTTGCTTTGTTTGTTTTTGGGGTTTTGAGACAGGGTTTCTCTGTGTAGCTCTGGCTGTCCTGGAACTCACTCTGTAGACCAGGCTGGCCTTGAACTCAGAGATCCACCTTCCTTTGCCTCCTGAGAGCTGAGATTTAAGGTGTGTGCCATCTCCTGGCAAGAGAGACTTCTGACTGCCAGGGTTTTGGCACTGACTAGAGGCTCTGAGATTATGTCCCTGGCAGTCATAGCTGCCTCTGCCTCCTTCTGTAACTATTTCCTCCAGAGCAAGCTTCATGTGAGGGAGACAAGTCTGCCTGGATCTGGCAGGTATCACAAAAGTGTATATGGGGTGCTTTTCTTTTCTTTCTTTTTTTGGGCAGGGGATAGGGAGGGGCGGTTTAAACAGGGTCTCACTAGGTAGCCCAAGCTGGCCTTGAACTCCAGATCCTCTTACCTCCACTTCCTAGGTGCTAGGGTTCCAGGTGTGCATCATCTGGTTTGGCTCCAAGGGTTCATTTCTACAGCCTCATCACTAGAATATTCCAGGTTCTGACGGAACCATGCTAGAGTCCCAGTACAGCTGATAGGGAACCTCCCACCCTAACCAGGGACCCGCACCTATCACCCCCAAGTGTGTACAGCTGGTATGTGGCTTCCCATTTGCACACCTGCTCTTTCTCCAACACCATATCACAAGAACTGATACCAGGGACTTTGTCATGACCAGCGTAGTGCCACCATACCTCCAAGAACACACTGACCTCTAGTCCAAATCTTACACAGGAGAAAAACTCAATTAAAGAAACAAAAGCAAAGAAACAAACCAACCCACTCCTGAGCCATGGAAGAGTACCAGGTCTTAGCCCATTGCCTCATAAGAATGGTCTCTCCCTTTGTGTGGGGTAGGGGTGGATTGCTGGTCTCCCTCCAAATCAATACTGTCTGTCCCACCCTCCTCGAGTGGACATCTCCTTCTTCCTTTCACTCTGCGCAGCCTCATTTCTGTTGCCTCCACCAGGGCCACTAGATGGTTTCCCACGGAAAGCAGGGCCACCAAGCCCTTCTCCCCAACTCCTGTCTGGCTCCCACCTCAGGGTGCTAGGAAGCTACCCAGGAGGCCAGGGTAGCCAGGATTGGGCTCTGTGGATAAGAGGCAGCATCAGAACAGCTCTGTTGTCTTGACAATGGCTCGTGTCCCAGGCACCCTAGCACCCACAGGGGCAATTACTGAGTGTAGGAGAGGGTTTCCATGGTGGCAGTCCCAAGGGGTACACCAGGCTTGGGGAGAAACAAGAGCTGGCAGGACCTTTCTCCTTTGTCCTGAGCACACTAGGTCTTTGTTCTTGTCTCGCTCTTTTGACAGATGGGACCAGGAGCATGGCTGGGGAGGTCAACATGGCTTAGAGTCCCCTACCCAAGGGAGGCCTGAGTCATCTGGGGGAGGTAAAGAGAGGCTGGAGTCTCCCTCTGGGGCCCAGTTCTCATTGGGGAGCCTTCCTCTGCCTTGTAGAGAAGCCTGACCTGTACCCTGGAGGCTGTCACTCAAGGCTTGCTGCTGCTCCTTTCCTGTAAACACCTTACCCAGCAGCCAATGGGTAACCTTGGCGTGTCCCCATATGGGACTATGACAGGAAGGAGGGATGTGTGCAGGAGGGAATATTTGATCCAGCTCTATCCAAGTATCTTCTCAGTCAGGCTTTATTTGAGGTTCCCCAACAAGAAGCCCATGGGGGTACCATATCCCAGGCAGAAGCTTCACCCCTACGCTCCTTCAGTGCTGGCTTTGATGCTGGCAGGCACCAGGTTGCTCCCCACAAGCTCCACTCGGTGACCTTCCTTTCTCTTTGTGCCTGACACAGTCCTTCAAGTGGGGAAATGCTCCCTCCTCTAGGTGCCCCTTGCTGGGAACAGAGCAGAGTCACACAGCTCCGAAGTAAAGTGCAGTACACATTTCTGGGACTGGCATGGCTCTTCAGATGATTAAGATATGGTGGCGCTAAGTGCACCGCCAAATGCTCAGAAACGGGTGTCCAGGAAAGAGGTGGAGCCTCGGTGGGACCTGGAGGGACCCTCAATAGGGGGTCCCCGGGCCCTTGTCAGAAGCCCATGGAAAGTCTTGCCACGAGTCTGTGGTTTGCGCCGTGGTGGCCTGGGCTCCTCTGGGGGCTGCACCACTATTCGGGGTATCTCAGGTTTGGTGCTTCCTCGAATCCTTGCCAGCTGCTGGGACTCAAAGATGGCTTGGGCTCCAGGAAGGCGGGCCTGTGGCAGAGGTGCTGGCCCAGGAGATGACTTGGGCAGCTGGGCCAACTGGATCCTGATTTCCCGTTGCAGATCTCTCTCAGACAGGGCTACATTGTGCACCTGGGAGGAACAGTTGACGCTGCCTTTGCCTGGACTGGGGTGGCAGGGAGCAGGAAGCCTTGAGGTCCCCATGGGGCAGGCAGTACACCACCCCAGGAAGTGGCTGAGGGCTGAGACACAGCTTGGCTGAGACCCGAAGAAAGACAGCTGAGGCCTGGGGTTCTCACATTCTCTGCAGCTCAGAGCGCAGGAGCTGCACAGTCCTCACCTGGGCTGTGTTCCCAGCTGTGCAGCAGGGGCAAGGTCACTGAGGCTGACTAGTTGAGAGAGATACCCACCTGGGACATGAAGGCCTCTTCCTGCAGCTGGGTCGGGGGGATGGCTCGAAGGGCTCCCAGTGTCTCCAAGAGCCCCGGGCATGCTGCACGCTGTTCTACAGTGCCCAGTGCCAGGCGCATGAGTGTCAGCCCCACACGGAACAGTACCTTGGCACCTGCAAGGAGGGGAGTTAGTCACTCCCAAGAAACCAGTATGCCCGCTCAGTTCTTCAGCTGAGTCAGCCCTCAGACTTGCTCCTCTTACCTCACTCCCCTCAGCTCAAGTCAGAAAAAAACGGCCAAAGACTGCAATTTGTTAATTTTTGGAGACAGGGTCTCATGTAACCAGGCCTCTGTCTGCCTACGTAGTTGAGATGACCATGACCTTCTGAGCCTCCCACCTCTTGAGAGGCACGTGACACCAAAGTGCATGGATTTTTGTTTTGTTTTTTTGAGACAGTCTTACCCTGTAGCCCTGGTTGGCTGGATCTTACCATGTAGCCAAGGTTGGCCTTAAACTCATGGTGATCCATTGGCCTCTGCTTTCTGAAGGCTCCGATTAGAGGTGTGTGCTACCAAGCTCCATTTGTTTTGTTTGGTTGAGACAGGGTCTCACTGTAGCTGGGGCTGGCCTGGAATTCTTTGTGTAGCCCATGCTGGCCTTGAACTTGCAACAATTCTCCCACTTCTGCCTCCTGAATATTGGAATTACAGGTGTGTGCCACCACACCTGGCTATCTATTTAGTGTGTGTATGTGCATGTGCATGTGTGTATGAACTGTACTGTACTGCCACATCACATGTGTGAAGGTCAAATAACCTCTTCTAGAGGTTAAGCACACACTGTTAATCCCAGCATTTGGGAGGTAGAGACAGGCAGATCTCTGTGAGTTTGAGACCAGCCTGGTCTACAGAGTGAATTCCAGGACAGCAAGAGCTGTTACATAGAGAAACTTGTCACAAAAAATAAGTCAGTTCTTTTCTTTTACTGTATGAGACCTGGAGTCATCAGACCTTACCTGCTCAGCCATCTCATCAGCTCACGCATCTGGCTTTTTGTTTTCTTGAGATAAAATCTCACTCTGTAGGCCATGCTGGCCTGGAACTACATGACCCAGCCTTGCCTTGAATTCAGAGCAATCCTCCTGTCTTGGCCTCTGAGCTGGGATTAGACATGTAGATTATGATGCCTAAGGAAGACTACAATTTGAGGACACAGGACCTGCAGGGGGCAAGCCAGTCTCAGGACACTAGACACTCACAGGCAGGGCAGCCAGCCAGGAGCCAGGGAATGCTAATAATCTTATGCCAAGCCTTCTCAGAGTCTCGGTATCCTGTCTCCTCAAGGAGCAGATTGGTTGGTGCCTATTAAAAACTTTTCATCTTGAATCTGCCACCTTCTAATTCTAGGAAGGTTCTGGGCAGAACTTCATTTCTTCCTAAACCAAGAACATAAAAATCATAGCACTTGTGTGCACCGCGCACACACACACACACACACACACACACACACACACACACACACACCACACGTACAGAGAGAGAGAGAGAAGAGAGAGAGAGAGAGAGAGAGAGAGAGAGAGAGAGAGAGAGAGTAACCTTGGCCAGTCCTAGGGCCTCATAATCCCTTTCTGGCATCTTCTGAACCACTAAGAGCAGATAGGATGTCAGGGAGACCTAGAGACAACTGTGACTTAAAAAGGAACAATTACCGCCGACAATGTCACCGATGCTATTAAAGGGACCTGTGTGGTGCTTGTCCCCAGATAGAGGGGATAGGGATCAGCTGGACCATGATCAGCCCTACCTCTTTGGGGTTAGAGGCTAGAGGAGAGGGTGTGTGTGATTTGGGTACCTAGGCCAGGATTTTTGTTTGTTTTTAAGATTTGGAGATAGAGTTTCAGGTAACTCAGGGTGGCCTTGAACTCAGTGTGTAAGCAAAGAGGATCTTGAACTTCTGATTCTTTTTCTACTGCCTCCCAAGTGCTGTGATGACAGCCATATGACACCATGCCTAGTTTTACACAATGCTGGAAATTGGGTTAGGGACTTATTGCATACTAGGCAAGCTAGCTATATTTCCAGCCCAAACTTCAACCTGACTGTAGGAGCAATCTCTAGACATATGGAGCAGCAGAAAGCAGAGCCCTGAAGACCCACAGACCAGCTTGGCTCTGCTCTGATGCCCCTTCCACTCTCTTTCTACCCTCACTTCTCCATGCCCTTCCTCCCAAGAGTCACCTGAGTTGGCTGCGACCTGATCTCCCGCGCCTGTGGTGGCCTTCCTGGCCTCTAACCTCCACCTGCATGCCTTCCAGTTTACCTCCTTCACAGAGAAGCCAGAGCCATCTTTAAAAACAGCCACCACCTCCTGCTGCTCTCCTGACACCCTGTCACATCCCTTGATTTATTTTCTTCATGGCACTTATGACATTCTATAAATATCTTCTTAATTCGGGTACTGTCACCTCCTGGACCCACCCCCACCAGAATGAAAGTTTCACAAGCTAGCTGTCAGCATCAGCTTGCTGGGCCACTCAGGAAGAGCCATGCCACGAGGCCCTGAGGAGCATCTCCTACTGCTGTGGACCACGCCTCAGGCCTGCACATCCTGGGCCACTGACAGCCCATGTGTGTCTCAGCCAGCCTGGCTGCTGCCTAACAGACCCCTGGCCCCCATCCCCATCAGAGACATCCCCATCCTTGCACCCAGCCGCCCACTGTGGTCCTTCTGACAAAGTAGAGGCTCTCACTCGTTACTCTGGGACTGAGTCAATGAGGTGGACACACTTAGACCCATGTAACGCAAGGCTCCAAAAGGGCCCAGCAAATTCAGAAAAGTGAGCTAGCCCCCCAAAGCCCCACTCACCCTCGCTAAGGAAGGCATCCCAGATGCGCAGCACTGTGGGGAAGGGCAGCGAGCGGGTGAAGAGGCACAGGAACCACTCGGGCAGGTAGAGCAGCGGCCCAACGCCTACCTGCTGCAGATGCTGGTACACACGTGGGAGCAGCCGCCGCAGAAGGGCCATGAACACCTCAGCATCCAGCTGCACTGCTTCCTACAGCCAGGCTCCTCATCAGTCTGGCTTGCCAGTGCTGCGAACCTCCACTCCCCAAACCCAGGCTTCTGATCCCTCACTCCCCCGGCCCTCACTTCCCATTTTCATATCCCTACCCAGCCTCTCACCATGTGGGGCCCATAGTAGCCAGGGAGGTAGACCTCGCAGATCTGCACCAAGCACCAGAAGGCTTCCTGGGGGCAGGGCGCATGCCTGTGAGCCCTCATGAAGGAAGGGTCCAGAGGGGGAGGAGAGGTAGGGAACAGGCACAGGGGCATGGACTCAGGACACTCCCACCCCACTCAGAGCCTGCCCTGTCTTGGGGTTGAGGGGCTGGAAATCACAGGGCCTGAGGTTCTGTATTTGGGGGCCATACGGATCTCTGAAGAAAAGTTAGGAAACTTTCCGAGTTTATATCCCAGAATCCTAAGGTCACTGGCATCCCACCCCGGGCCAAGGTCATGGCGCTCCAGACTCCCAGTTCAATGTCACAAATCATAAGCTAGGGAAAGCCAGTGTAAGCAGATGCTCCTGGCCAGCCTGAGCATAGAACAGAGTTCAAAATGCCAAAGTGAAATTTTCTTCACTGGGGTAAAGGCCAGGGTCAAAGGTCCCAGGTTTAGAGGTCAAGGATGATAGACTTAAATGTTACTGAGACTGGCGGACATGAGGCTTTGGTCACTAGAACAGGGCTTAGAAATAAGGGACCACAGTTCCTAAGGTCTGAATACCTGGGGTTGAACGCTGGTGGTCTAAGAGTTCGGACCCTGGGAGCACAGGTGAACAGGGACTGAGGATCTCCGAGCAGGGTCAAAGTCACTCACCTCTGGGGGCAGATGCATGAGCAGCACAGCAGCTACAGGGCCTTGAGCCTGGCAATAGCCCTGCTCCGGCCGGTACAGAGTGTAGGCCTTGAGAACCTGCAGCAGCCCCTGCTGCCTGTACCAGAAGATCTCATCAGGGCTAGCCTAGGCTCCCCTTCCCTGCCCTTCGGGTCCTCTTGCCCAGGCCATAGTCTCCCTCAGTCAAGGGTATAAATCTGAACTAGGGAACTGGGCTGAAGCATCTAGCATGAGGACTTGGGGTCAGTGGGTATTCCTGGCCCATACCCGTGTCCCTGGGGTGACACAAACATCTCGTGCAGAGGGAACTGGCGGTGCAAGTCCCTGCCAATGGTCTCCATCCACTGCGGGTCTCCAGGGGCCACTGCCAGCTCCTGTGGGTGGGGAAGGTGAATGTAAGGGCTCAGGGTAGTGAGGAGCTCTGAGAGTGGAGGTAAAGGCAAAGCCGGCCACTGCCAACTTCCTCACCTGATAGGTGCCAGGGTTGTTGTTCTGGCACACCTGGGCCCCACACAGCAGGGGCCAGCACCGGGCCCGCAGGGCAGATGGGATGCCCTTCCGGCACTGCATCTTTACCTGCGGGTGAGGTCCAGTCGTTATGTTAGGTCAGCCTCTCTTACAGCTGTCCATTGGCCAAGGGCCCACTTGGACATCAGAGGCAGCGGGGATTAAGAGCTATGGGGACCCGTAGATATGGACCCCTCCTTCCTCACCTTCTTGTATCGTCGAGACATGGTCTTCTCCCAGTGTGAGGTCATCTCCACCCACTTCATCTCCCGCTGGCGGATGAGGTCTGCAGAGGGTTGACCAGGCCTGGAGGCACATGGCATGGCATAGCATTCCTTGGAACATATACCTTCCCGTTCCAGGCCACCAGAGAAACCCCAGCTCCTGGCTTGGGGATCGCTGAGGAGTCCTGGATGGGTATGTGTGGCTCAGAAGCTGACAAAGGTTGTCACAGTTAAAGGAAGGGAATTTGGCTTCAACGGGGAACAGAAGCAGGAGAATGAAGGGATGAGGAGGTATGTAATGAGGGAGGGTCTGTTTGGCTGTCACCCACCACAGAGACAGTTCACAGGGATGCTGACTGGACGGTGCCCTGGCCTGGAAGCCAGAAGTCCTGGGTGTGAATCTGCTCCTGTTTCTGATCTGCTGTGTGATGTGGGGCAAGTTTCTATCTGTCTCTGAACTAACTGTCTAAGGGAAACCTGAAGAAGAGAATGAGAAGAGGTACGGACTTCCATCTGGTGCTCTTGGGCCAGAGATTAAAAGGGGGAAGATGTGCAGCTATAGGGCAGTGTTCAGACCCTCGGAGGATAAAAGAGCCATAAAGGGACATTGCCTCCACTACCCTTCTTACCTGAGCTCTGGGCTAGTCTCTTCAGCCAGCCCCCTGAGGCCGGGCCTAACTTCAGAACTCAGTCCTCAGTCTCTGTACCCTGTCTCCCTACCCATGACTCACTTACCCCAGTTCTGCTGAGTTGCCACCAATGAAGCCATAGCGGTCAGCCTGGCGATATGGACCGGGCCCACTCAGCTCCGAGTCAGACCCTAGAGAGCTAGAATCATCCTGTAGTTCTGATGACAGCACCAGGTCCTCCCCCAGGGTCTGGGCCATTGTGCCCTAGACCCCAGTGTCACAGGCTGCAAGACATACAGAGAGCCAGTGTGAGCAGCCAGGAGCTGTCAGGCTGAGGCCGGGGATTCCAGTCACCAGTACTCAGCCACAGGAGACTAAGCCTCCTCTATCACTGGTGAGTGGGCTAGGCAAGCCCCAGGTGCAGCCCAGCCCAAAGCCTGGCCCTTAGTCCCAGCAGCCCATCTCACCTCCTCGCTGCACCTCACCTCCTCTCACTTCCTCCTCGGTCTTAACTTCAGCAGCCTGTTGGGGGCCCCTCCCAGGTGGGGGGACTCCCCCCTTCCTCTATGAGGCTCTTCCTGCTCGCCCTAGTGCCCGAGCCATGAGCTCCTCCCATCCACAGGATGCTGGGTGTGATGAGTCCCTTAGCTTGCCAGAGATGAAGATGACAGGCCACTAGCAGGTAAAACACAATTCATGGTTCCAATAAGAATTATGCATTAATGTTTTGGCTCCTCCCTCCTCTGTTTTCTTTCTTTTTGGGGAGCGAAGGGGTTACTGTCTGGGAATGAGGGTCTCATCGCCTGGGAAGAATATGAACTCTCTATATAGTTGAGTATGACCTTGACCTTCTGATCCTCCTGCCTCCAGAATCCTGATGCTGGGATTTCAGGCACTGGAATTTCAGGTTTATGACACCATGCCTACCTTAATGTTTTACTGTTTAAAAACAATATCTTTTTTTCTTTCTTTTCTTCCAGAACTGGAGATGGAACCTAAAGTCTTGCACATGCTAGGCAAGACCGAATACTCCACAAAGTACTTACAACATGAACGCGGTGCAATACTATTACATCACTCACAGACAGAAGAAAGAAAAAATTGATGCAGCACACACCAAGGCAACCTGGACCAAAACACGCTGAGTTCAGTAGCAGGTGTCCATGGGTTTGGCCACAAAGCCTGAGGTGAATGTGAGGCCTGGGTCTGGAGTCCACTGTCAACATCACTAAGCATTAGTAATATCATTAAGCCTTAGCTTGAGAAGTCAGCGATTAGCGTGCTCACACCACAACCTCACGGAGGGCTGGGGTGAGAAGCGACTTTTGAGAGAGAAAAACAATTTCCACAGTACTTCCGGCCCTAAGGCCTCCCGAACGCGGCAGGGCGAGTCCTCCAGGGTGGAGCCAACTCAACCCTGCCCTACCAAGCCCTGCCTGCCACCCAGCTAGGCTCCGCCCGTACCCCCTGAGATCCTCCGGGCTGCGGCGCTTGTCGTCCAGCGGGGGCGCCAGAGAGCGGAGGACGGCGGGCGCGGCGGGGCGGGGCGGCCAGCCG